CAACCATTTATCGTAATCATTTTGTGCAATTACAAGGAAAAGGCTAAAAAGTATTTTTAGAAGATAAGGGCAACTGGGTTTTGATAATTAATTGGAATTTCGGCACCTGCAGATAGGAACCTCCTATAGAAAGAGCGTTCCAAAAAACTAATTACATGTCGCGAATACGTTTATGAAAAGCATGAAACAAGCAAGGATTGGAATGGTGAACTAGAGCCAAATAGGTCAGTGAGTGTTTTCGGTATTCGTCAGCATGCATTTAGCGCACCCTTTGTTTCTGTTCGGGAAACTACCCAATAGCTCCGCAACCTCGTACGTCAATGCAGGAAGTGGCTCCTGATCAGGTAACTCCTCAAACAGGAGAGCTGGGGTAGAATGTATCAATCTCCCTGTCGAAGATCAAGAGCGTTTCAACAATGGAAAACCAGCTCCCTATCTTAGATAGGGAGCTGATTTGTTATTGTAAAAGCGCACCCGATCTCAACAGGAAGATTGATACATTCCATCCCTGATCTTAATGTGATCTTAATACATTCCGCCGCAGATCTCAAACGACACATTGAAGTGTACCCTAAAGGTATGTGACAAGAAAAAAGGGGTTAAAAAGCCTTTATCAGGAATTCAAAGAAGCAGAAATAAGGGGAAAGCTGCATAGACCTAGATATAGAGGAATCTTTACTAGTGAAAGAAAGATATTTGGCTCAGGGCAGACTCTGCTTATGCAAGATAAATGCTAAAAAAAAACTCAAGGTGACCAAGTTTTAGTAAACGTACTAGGTATTTTTTTTGCACAGGCTTAATGTTACGAAACATAGATTAGACTACCTTTTATATGGATGTGGCTGTCCTTTGGAAGTGTAAGGACGACTATTCTTTGCTTGAGGTGCTATTTTAATTATTTTTTGATTATTATTTAATATTTATATTAGGGGCATCCGTACCAGAGCAATGATAACAGCAAGTTTTAACATTTATGCTGAATATATACGATCGTGCATTCCTGAGATCTGTTTAATGGGCATTTAGAGTAATTGAATCAACTAAGATATTTCATTCTTCTTCTTGAAATCGGCGTAAATTCCGTTGTACTCTGACATATTTTGAATCTGATCAAGAGACCCGTTAGTCTCAAAGGGTGTCAATGCGGTATTGAGTGCTTGTTCCGCCCAACTCGGATTCGAATTTAAGGGCTGCTTCAAACCGTCAGCTTTCCCAAGAAGCCAAAATGTCTCCATCACTCCTTTGCCCTAAAGAGCTGATTCTTGCAAAGATAGTGATGAGTTGGTGATCCGTACCTTGATTATAACTTCTCCTCTTGATTCTGTTAGAAACCCTCCTACAACGTTCAGCAGATGATTTGCTTCAGCAGATAAATGTATCATCCCTGCTTAAAAGTATGATTTGAGAACTGCAGTGTCATAAGGGTCAGAAAAGCTCATTTATCTTTTAACGAACGTTTTCCGTTGCTTTCCATTCTGCTGGCCGTGTTTACAGTATCCCCAAATAAACAATATCTTGGCATCGTTAAGCCAACCACGCCAGCAACAACGGAAC